TACCTACTAACTCACATCAATATCTCGACTGGAAAATAAGAGCTTTAAATTCAAATATCAATGGCTCAAATTGATTGGTACTTGGTAGTATCAATGTTCTAAATCGTCGCATAATGGTACAATGCTAGAATCAATTCCCTTGAACAACAACCCTATCAGCAAGTGAGGTAGCCACTTGAACGTAGCGATGGGGTTCCAGCCAAACTGGAACAGGAAGGTACGAAATATTTTGCGGCCGTGGTCGGTGGTCGGCCGCAGTTCTTGTTTTGCTCACTGTTAATTGATTATAGCTCGTATCCAACGCAGAGGCCGCAACCCCCGACAGCCCACCAAAACCAAAGCAGCCGAGAGCCCTTCCTGCCAGCCATTCCACTTGGACTCCCTTCATTCTGTTCCCGTGCGTTTAGTTTTGTTCATTGCCCCTCACCCATCGTTGCCCGTCCTACGTCTTGGTGTAAATCTGTAATGAGCCACAGTTTATGCCGATTCCACCTTCTAGTCTTCCCTCGCTTATCCGCCACAAATTACCCAATGGCGCATTAAATACCTACTTTATTCTTACGCGATGAATAATTCTTCCATTGCTTCAAACAAACGCTGAACATTATAATGTAAATTTTTTTGTATTAATACTATTTCCAATGTCAATTTGATTTGAAGTATAAAATGGGAATTGAAAACTGATTTTTCGATTTGTAAATATTTGCTAATCCAAATTCAATAAAATGTAAAATTTTATAATATATGTTGTTTATACATAAATATTATTGATAAAAGAATTTTATTGAAGCAATACATTTGATATAAATTTTAAATTAAACAAATTATTTTACTATCATAAAATTGTGAGGCGGTCCAAAATTAATATTACATTTATTAAGATGTTATACAACTATACGGTATTTTAAAGCAGATCATTCCCTAGAATATAGATTTGCAATGTTCGGCGAGCTTAAAACGCTGGAAGGCATCCGAAACGATCAAAAAGTTATCGATCACGGTAACCTTCCACGCTGACCGCCGTCTACCTGTTTCGGACACGTCAAAGCACGGACATGGAGCCGGCTGTCTTCTCGTTTGTTTCAAATTCTCGTCACTCATTTTTCATACGTTTACACTGCCGACGCCGCCGCCGTCGCGCCGCCGCAGGTTCCTCTCGATACTAAAAGAATGAGAGAAAGAGAAAAAGAGCGAGGAGGAAGACGGAGGAAAGAATGGGGAAAGGTGGAGAAGAGTGAAGAGAGGAAGAAGTTGAGAACGGAACGAAGAGGGGTAATCGTTCTCTTCTCCACGCTGTTCGAAATAGTGGTTCTTTCCGCCCTTTGTTCTTCCTCGCAAGTTTTCTTCCTTCAGACGCGGGGGGAAACAAAAGACAAATTACAGAGACGCCCGTCATGTGACCCTTCCCACCTGTCTATAAACGACCTGGTCCAGTCCAGAGAAAACGAGAGCACACCGAAGGCGGACACAGGAGGAAAATCTGTGATCCGGACGACTTGGTCGCATGTGTAAACTACTTCTCGATTGAAGATCTGCTTTTTCTTCTTGCCTTTGATGATCGTATTTCGCTAGAACATATTTCTTTATCATTCAATGAGAACATCTACGAATTAATCATAAGTGCAATGGAGTAATGCAAAAATTAAAAAAGAAGCGGAGGGCATGAGAATTTTACCAGCTGTTCCTAAATATTCGAGCAAAGACAAAAAAATGAAAGAGACACGAACAAATGGAGAGCAAAATTGAATAATTACGTTATTTTCTATAATTTGTTTTTATGACAAAAAATTTCAAAAATAGTTTTTTTTTATAAACAGCATTGATAGCTTTTATTGCTATTTTTAAAGATAAATGTAAAAAAAAGCGTTGTGCTAAAAATATCATCCTAAAAATTATATACCTTTGATATAAAAGTAATATCTATTATATTAAAAAAATGATCACAATTAGTATCTATAATTTAATTATCTACAAATAAAACCTAATCTCAAATAAAAAAAATTGAAATATTGAAACTAGAAATATAGTACGCGAGGATATAAAAAACAAAATAATAAGCGAAACGTTGATAAAATGCTATTGTTTTAGAAAGTTGTTAAACTTTGTTTCATCAAATCTTGCGTTGAGATTAACACATGCTTTTAAAAAAAGTGATAGAAAAACATGGCATAACTTGCGAAGTTATGTTTCATCAAAAGGTTACATTTTAGAGTGTAAACTCATACCAACTTCCTCTTACTTCGATGAGAACGCGCGAAGCGACGGTTGTCAGTTTTGTCACGGACATCAGCATCTGCTTCAACGACGATTGACGAACTATTACATAAATTACATTATAACAAACCTGTTATTTTAATATCATTTTTCACATTTTTCCTTTAACTTCTTTATTATTTCACTATTTTTTCATTAAAATAGAAAAATAGAACGTATTGTGTAAATTACAAAATAAAATTATGACTAAATCGTAAAAAGAATGACTTATTAATTATTTATTATTAATTACAATTATTTTGTAATATTTAGTAATTACTATAATATTTTGAAGCACTCTATGATATTTAATTTTGTATCCCGCAATTTTTACATTGTTATAAAAAAACATAGATTTATAACTTTTAAATAATTAAGAACATTGATGTTTGAATTTGAGTAAAATCTGTATTAACAAAAAACATAATAATTCTTGTGTAAAATATTTGTGGTAGCAGTCTTAACCGGATGAATCCATAGACAAAACTAACAGCGTGATATACGAAAATACAGACTCTATTTTCGTGCTCTATCTTTCTCACCTCGCACACGATCCTGTCAGGTCGCGCTCTTCATTTTGACTATGCCTTGACAGTTCGTCATCCTCTACATCATCTCGCAAGAACAAGAAGCTTGCTAGCAATGCCGACATTTTCGTCCCGAAAAAGTCGTTGTCGTTACAAAGCAGTAACGCTTGTCACTAAATTAAATTAGCAAAGAGTGGTGTGACATGGTATTGTTATTTTACTTACAAATACTAGCAACAATATTTAATTATTGTCAACAAGATCTAACACTCTATAAAATCTCTATGCACAAAAAATACTGTATAATCTAAAGATTTATTTGTGTCTATTAATACTTAAGTATATAAGATACAAATAATTTTTTTATAATAATTTAAAATATCATAAAAATATTTATGCAAGCTCTCTAAAAAAATATTCTTATCTCTTGTGTTATATCGTATATATTTTTATTTAGTAAACGGTTTAATTTATTATATCAGGTAGTTATTTGCCATCCCAAATATTGCTCCGCATTCATCGCCGGATTGAATTAAACTCCTGAAACGATTGAACAGATACAGGGCGTGGAGTGGAGTTTGATCGACAGTTTCGTCCAACCAATCGCAAGACCGAAATGCTGATGAGGCCCACGTCAATCATGCGATACTTTCATCTCGCCACCATCGCCCTCACCCTATGGAAACTCCACGTGCAGGATTTGCTAGGTTCAAAGCTTACTACATCTTCAGTCTACACCTTTCTCCCTCATCCCTGAGTGTCTTTTCTCTTTTCCATTCTTCCTCTCCCTTTCTGACCGTCTCTATCACGTACCCTCCCCGACCTTTTCCAGTCACTATACCTTCCTCTTTTTACCTTTCGTTTTCTCCACATCTTTTTCCTTCCTATCTCGTTCGATTATTCTCTTTCTCTTTCTTCTTTAACCCCTGACGACTCATCCTACTGTCGAACCACCCCTCAGCCACCCTACATCCGCTCGCACGCTATGGGGTAGTTTAGCATCTCGGCCCTACGAAACGAACCACCCTCTCCCTCGCTGCCCCCTTTGCTCCAAACTGCGTCACGCCGTATCGGTTTTTTTCTTCTCTCATGATATGGCAACGCGTAAAAAAGTGTAACACCCCTGATTCTTGATAAAAAAAAAGTATTTTGACATCCAGGTGATCAGTATCACCGATAGAATAAAATATTAGCATAAAATATTTTTTTCACATTGTTGATGTCCACCAAAGTGTTTTTTATGCTCTTAAATGGTAGACAGAAAATCCGAAGTAGTCAGAAAGTAACGTATTGTTGGAAAAAGTTTTTCTAAACGTTCAAAATATACGTTGTTCCTAGAGAATTTGCCAAGACACGTCTTGTTAAACAACGCAAGCTCGGCGAGCCATCAAGTTTGATTGAAATATTACTCCTCGGGGCATGCAGCGAATTCTGTAATTACGATAGGCGGCTATTAATAATTGTTTACAGTTGGGTGGAAATTACTCTTACGCCACATGCCTCAACAAAGTACCGTGAGATACTTGGTCGCTACTTTCTAGAATCTGCTCGAATAAACCGCGATATGCTTCCTTACACCATCCATCCGCCTCCTCCCTCTCATGTTTTCACGTCCTCTCGATCCTGTGTGGCATTCCACTTGTTATCGCGGAACAAGTTTCTTATCCGATAACAATTAGGAGGTGTTTCACATCGACACGGAATAGTGCTGGTGGGAAACTTGCCCAAAAGTTTCTAAGGAGCCCAGTAACTCGCCGGAACAACACCAGAATGGTCCTTTTCGTCACGCGGGAATCTTCGCTTATGCATTGTTAAGGATGTCGTGTCGTCATCCCTTCCTGCTTTCTCCCTATCTCTCTCTTCCTCTCTATAGTCTAGGTTGCTTAAATGATCATTAATTAGGATACCATTTACTTCCTATAACAGACAAAAAGAGAACATCGCTGCGATAAAGACAAAGCGAGTATCGGAGCGCGAAAACTTCATCGTGCTGCAAGAAATAAAACCGAAAATTAAAATGAATGATTTGCATAATGAGTTTCCTGATAAAATCTTTATGATATTTGTAAAATATCTAAATACATGATATCTTACCCTCAATGCAAGAATAAATTATCACAGATAACTGAATTGATCTTATATTAAAGAAAATCCACGTTATGATATTTCGAATTTATATTATTATTTGTAAAAATTGAAAAGAGGATTCTTGTTTTACAGAGAACGGTCTACCAAGAAGATTACGAACAGCTTATACAAATACGCAACTTCTCGAGCTAGAAAAAGAGTTTCATTTCAATAAATATCTTTGTCGACCACGAAGGATAGAGATCGCAGCTTCATTGGATCTTACGGAAAGACAGGTAATAACTTTAATTAAGTAATACTATAAAAATCATTACATCATTTTCATTTTTAATACGTTACAATTATTTAAAAATATTTTTATGTTGCTTTATTAAAAGTGTTACAAAAAACATCTTTCTTTTTTTTATACGGTTGTTGATGCATCATATCCATCGTCTATATTTAATAATTAAAACGTAAATCATTATATAAATATCGCTATCTTCCTCTCAGGTAAAAGTTTGGTTTCAAAATCGACGAATGAAACACAAGCGGCAAACACTTAGCAAGGAAGACGGAGACGAAAAGGATGGCTCCACTTCGGACGGCATGGAAAAACCTAAGAGTGACAAAATGTTATCAGCTGATGATGAAAAGAAGAGTTGTCATAACTGTGATATTTCGGGTGTGGGCGATGTCGGAAGCACTCTTACTGGCGATGTTACCGAGTTAGGTTCTTCCGGTCGAAGAAACAGTAACAACAATAATACCCCTGGTGCGACTAACAACAATAATAACAACAACAACAGTAATCCAGGCTTTAATACGAATAGCAATGGTGCCAGCAGCGTCGGCAGTACTAACAGTGTGTCCAGCTCGTTCGAAAAGATGATAGTGGACGACGATTCGAGATCGCAAGATGGAAGTGAAGTGACATCGCCGAGCGTGACGAAAAAATTGTCGGGTGAAGTGAGAGTGAAGGTTGAGAGTGGTCACAAAAGTCCGAACACAGCGAAGCAACAACAGATCTCAGTGAGCAAGAAATCGCCATCGGCCAGCACGAAGGACATGTGTTCGGTGAACAGCAACGGTGTGCTATTAGCTATGCCGGACTCGACGGTCAGCACGCCGGTACTACCGGGTCAGAATTCCACGAGGAGCCTAACGCCGTCCTCGACCCCCGGTACTCCCGTTTCCGTCCAGCTTCAGCAAGGCAGCCCCCTCGGTATCCAGCAAGCGGCTCACACAGCTTACATGCAGAGACCGCGAAGCTCACCGTCCTCCACGACGTCCTTGCCAGGCCCGATGTTGCACGCCCCTACAAATCCAGGAACGATGTCGCCGCACGGTGGCCGAAACATCTCGAACAGCCAGCAAGCACATTTCCAACAGCAAGGCGTATATCAGCCCACGTCGACTATTGATTATCGAAACGGCGTACCCGCAAATAGACAGAGTATACCTACGGCGTCGCAACAAACTCAGTCGCAAAATAGTTACTGCACCAGAGATTCATATCAACAACCAAGAATCTCTTATCCAAGTGAGGTGAATTCTCTATACGTTAGACAAAATCAAGCGGTGGGCTCGAGAGTAGCGCATCACGTGAGAGCAACGGGCACGGCATCAAGATCAATGTACGGTGCCAATATGCAGTTTCATCAGCAACAGTTGCAGTACGGTAGTACCGGAGAGTATAACGGATATCCTCAAGCTGGACCACCTTATCACGCTTATCATAGAGGTATGCAAGGTACCAATGCGTACAATTCCGGTCAGGGATACTCGGCGACGCAGAATGAGCAGAGCACCGACGGCTATATGACGCCTGGAAATTACGGTTATTCGACCGGCAGTAATTATCATGGAACCGGCGAGAATCTAGCGACACACGGACACGCTGCTGTATCCGCGCAAACCGGACAGCATTATTTCAATGATATCCAACAACAGCAACAACACCCACAACAACATACCGCCGAGGGCTATGTCACTCATCAGCCGCCAATGCATCCAAGTTCCGGCGACTACCGACCCGGGAACAAGTGTCACCCGGGCGCGTATTATGAGCAGACCGCCGGTCAGCTGCACGTTCATCAGGGCGGCGAGGCTTCCAGCATCCCAAATAGTTACGTATCGTCGCCCGATCCGTTTCCGGCGCCTGGCATGACGACAACCGCGACGGCAATCGCAGCTGCTACCGCAGCAGTTATTACGCCACCCGGAAGCGCCGGCCAGACTGACGGTAACAACGAATCCTATGGCAATTATGGGAATTTCTACGGCGAGCCGGTACACACCGCCGCGGCTCCGCCGCCATCCGCTGACAACAGCAATAGCTCGTCCGATTTCAACTTCCTCAGCAACCTGGCGAACGACTTCGCGCCCGAGTATTACCAGCTCAGCTGAGTTCACGAGACCGAGAATCCTTGCCAGCTGGATTGGGGCGATGAGCAATGTCTACTCAACGCTTTATATTGAAGCTAACACATCTACGTGATTTGTATATACTTCAACATTCGTAATTTAACTCTGCGCGTAAGTGTAAAAATAAAATGGGGACTAAAAATACTATTAACGGTGCGTGTGTCTATATAAATAAATCTATATAAATAAATCTACCATCCGACCTAAGTTATCGAATATCCTCTAGTTTGAAGTGACTGTCTCGTGAGTTGTGTCAAAATTACTTTCAAGACTAGCTGCATTCAATCAAGACACTTGGACTGATTTATGGAATGGTTGTACATAATAAAATCTGAAATATTTAAATTGACTTCAATAACTGCAAGCATATCTGAAGTAATCCGGATTACAAATTGTTGACTGTTTTAGAATGCAAGCATAGCCGATCAGTCGATATCATTATGCATCCGAGTGTAATATCAATTTTAATATTGCTTACCATGGACAATATGTAATTTTACCAATTTACATTCCAAACATTAAAGGATGTTTTGGAAATATACAACAGTAACAACGAGTGCAATGGTTGTGTTAATTTTTAATTGGAACAATGTTAACAGAGAGTTCCGCTATTCACAGAATTTTTTAAACTGTATTACAAAGTGACATTATTATATCACCACCCTTTGCGAAACGCGCTTAATCGCAGAAGATGAAAAGTGATTTGTGAGTGATATTAGACTGATATACACGAGCTGTGGTTTACAAATGTGCATGAAGAATGTTGTAAATATATCAAAGATTTACCGTTACGGAAATTCGATGGAATTTCAATTCAACGGTCCAATTCTCGTGAAAGGAAACACGAGGTGTAAGTGCAATCTTCTTGGCGCAAACGGTCTCTATATTAGTGCATCGTTAGGGTGTTCGAAAACTAGATTGTATAGATAACTGAAGCCATGTTCCTTTTGTTTTCGATGTAACTTAAGTCACCGGCACAAAGTATATATTTTGGTTGAAACATTTAACCTTATTTGATAATCTCGAAAAAGGATCTGACGAAGTTTTCAAATTACACATATCCCACAAATGTTTCATTTTCACGTGATAGTCAATGAGATAACAAATTATATTTGATTTAAAACGATAAAACGAGGCCTGAGACTGTAGGTGCATGTGAGCAATAATTAACAATGAAACTATGTACATATATATCATACGAAGGATAGATTAATGGAACACAAATGAATAAGAAAATCGCATTTATACACAGTCATGATTATTATATCGAATATACAACTTCTGAAAAGTGAAATAGGTACAATCTGTTAGTTTTAATTAAATGCAGGAAATAGATGTCTCTCTCTCTCTCTCTCTCTCTCTCTCTCTCTCTCTCATAAAAAGAAATTAATATCCTCCAATTGAATATGGAGAATAGTTAAAAATCATTATTTGACCACTATTGCGGAAAGAGACAAATGCACTTGTAAAAATGTTGCGCTAGTTTCGTGAAAAAATAAAACAAGCTTTAAAATTAATTCGAATTGATATGTTATTATTCTGTGTCGTGGATAATATCATTTAAATAAAAATGAACGAATATTGTTGAGCAATATTTTGAATGATAATCCACACTTTCTAAGGAAAATGTATTTATTGCATACCCACTATATAAATATTGGTTGCATTATCATTTTTTCACAAATCGCATTTTTTTCAAAGCTCTACTAACTAGCGCTATTTTCAGTGAACCAAATAAATTATTGTCTCACAGTAGGTAATGTAAAAGTAAACGTAGGTAGGGACATAATTTTAATTTTCACCTCGCGACAACATATTTAATACGCAGCTCTTTTTGTATAAAATTAGATGCCGTCATTGTTCATATAAAGACTTTCATGTACATATGCGCGTACGATAACCGTATATATTGTTTATTCGTTCTGACTACATAATTGTGTTGCAAGTGAGCCCTCAACACGGTAAACGAAGTTATCACACATGTACATTCACTCACTGATACATTTGACAAATACAGATCATAGTGAAAAGTAATGAGTGTTTTTATTTTCTCTAATAAGCTTCTTTTTGCTATTTTAGTCGCTTAATTAAAAGTGCTAACATGAACCATATGGAGTATAAAAACATTATAAATCAACGAATATGATACGAAAAATCATAACTTTAACGAACGGAGTGACCATGAACGGAGGCGGAACGCGTAAATTTTGATCGTAGATGGCGCGATTTGCCCATGCTGACGATGAAAGTGACGATGATAGATGACCCAAAATATCGGAGCAATCGAACTGAAATATTATTCTTAGCAGCATCCTTACACCATGTCAACTTCATATCCTATTCAGAGATTAACGCGTCATTTGTTATACTAGAGAAATTTCTTCACGCATAAATTGATTTATCATACTCGTATATAACTAAAGAAAAAAATAAACATTAATTTACTAAGTCATCCCGTGATAATAGGGTTATCATATTATCAGAAAAAGTTTTATTATTATCAGAGTAGCGAAAATAATAATGTCGTAATAATTGCGATAGAACAGCGAGAATCGTGAATCGCGACGTACAAAATCACAACTTTGACGAAAGAAACTCAAATCGAGAGCCTCGCGCATTGGTAGGACGGACGGCTGTGTCAGTGAAGAGACTGACAATGATGGATGACTACGCGTGATGCGTGTGAGTCAAGCCCATACGACGCCATAGCTCCGAGCTCATATGTGACCTCCGGTTCGAGCGAACCGAACTGTTGCTATCGTTGCATCTGTGCAGAACACCCTCCCGAAACACGATCCCCGATCAACGATCCTCCCCACATCGGCTAATTTCTTCAAGCTATTAACTTTTTCTCCGGCCAACGAGGCCTTATGATGAAAAAAAATAAGAATTGGAAGATTAGAAAAATTGCGTTTTGCAACCTGCACCGGTTTAGCTTTTTGTGCGCCGCTTCCGATTTTCGGATATACAGTATTCCGCAATGCACGATAGTATGACATAACAATTTGGTAAACATCGGACAATTTGTCGTCGTCGTATAGAACATCTCAATAAAATTTACATTCAAACATTTTACAATATAACTTTATCATTGATTATGCGGTGATATCGTGGTCATATCGAGGGTGGATTTCGAAGCTGCAGGGTCAAGGGTTACCAGCCCCGAGTCGTGCGATGCTTGCCCTTTCAGCCCAACCGTCGCAACCATAAATCTTACGATCGTCAAGGGACGACTCATTCACGCCACTTTGCTTTCCATCCGATATCCGCTGAGCAGAAAACGCATGGATTTCTACGACTTTCACCTTGATCATTCAAATCATACGATACTGTTCGAACTATGTAAGACGCACTTTTCATTGTACATAACGACGCTCGGTTATGATTCGTTAATTTTCTCAATGTTGTTTTCTCAATGTTTAATTCAGTCGCAAATATTCCTCGATTAAAAGTGATTTATTAACGACGTGTCGTACACGCTCAAAGATTTCCAGAATTACCGCAATTGTTTTATTTAATCGATTCTTGCTATATTCTCTTGAGACAAAGAACGTAAATCGAAAGAAATCCCGAAGTGGAAAGCAGCAAGATACGAGTAGCCGGCACTACGATTCTTATTCTCTTTTTCTTCCGGGATGCACGAGAGAGAAATGTCGTTAACGCTTAAATGTTAATAAATGTAGATAGGGAATAGGGGGTCCTGTATATCAGACAGGTAGACGCTCACCTGAGCGCCCGGTGACTAAGTGAAGAAGGTAAGAAAGTGCTGCAACGCTGGCGGCTGCTTTTGAGGCTTGGTTTGTCATGGTTCGCATGATAGATGGAGGAAGCAGGAGCTTCGGCTCTCCAGTGTGTATATATATATATATATGTGTGTATATATATATATATATGTATGGTGTTGAGTTTTAACCACGGAGACACCTTACGATCATCCCGTCCGTTAACTCGTTCGCCTACCGCAAATAGAATCTTACACGCCTCGCGTGTTCCCATTGCCGCCAATGAAGAAACTGTGAAATTTATTTCCGATTCCTCTGCTTCTAATGTCTTCCTTGTGAATGTATCAAAAGCTAATAATCTGCTTCTAATCTAGCTTTCCACGCTTGAACGTAAACCGCAATTTTGGTCTATCAGAAAAGACGAAAACAGATTTCCATGAGTGGAAGCCTTCTCATTCGTGGCGTTACTCATTAGTTAGCAATAATTCTACGATGACTACGATACGACGAGAAGGTCACAATGTGCGAAGGTCTTTTATTGCATTACAGTTGAAGATATGCGCCGTATCTTGAAGAATAATGAAACCTGCAGCGAGGAAATTAATAAACGTAAGTAGTAAATGTTAGTAAAAGTTGCTGAGTAAGTCAAATATAACTTCTTGTACATTAGCGCGACCTTATAACTGTTCCCATTATGTTTTCCATTATTACTACCGAGTAATTTTAATATTGAGTTTAATAATACATAAAACTGACGTAATATTAATTAAATATTTTCAATTTCATGATTTTTATATAAATAGACACACACGCTTCATAAATATTAAATAATTTTCGAATTAATCATTGAATACAATGAAACAAATATTGACAGAGTTACAATTTTCGTTTCATTAAGCTAAACTTAAAAATATATAATTTGGTATTTTAAATGATATGAAAATTATTGCATAAACAATAATAAGATGAAAGACCGCTAATGTTAAACATAATAATTTTAAATTAAGAAGCGCCATAACGGTCAGAACGTTAAGATGTTGAACTATTGTAAATTCATTTAAATGAATTAATTTCAGAAATGATAATTGCGTGCCGATATGATTGTCGGACTTTCAACGCAATCAAATCTGAAAATATTAATAATCCCCTCAAATTTCCCAACTTAAAAACTGTAATAAACTTATTGCGAAAAATAATGCCTCGACCGGGAGCATTATTTTTCGCAATAAGTTTATTACAGTTTTTAAGTTGGGAAATTTGGGGGGATTATTAATATTTTCAGATTTGATTGCGTTGAAAGTCCGACAACCATATCGGCAATTATCATTTCTGAAATTAATTCATTTAAA